GGTGTGTGTGTAGTATATATATATATATATATATATATATACACACACACACACACATATGTTCTAGATATCAATCAATTTCAGTCTACGGCAGACTATCACTGATGGACTTCAAAATAGGGTATAAGCAGGTACCCATTGCACAGTCTCTGGTTTGATGTTCCTCTAGACTCCCCACCACATTTTCCCCCCTCTTTTTCTTCTAATTGAGCACGGGTGTCCTTTCCACTTTCCATATTCTAGTCATTGGGGTGGTGGACCATGGAGGCTTCCTCCTGAGTGAGTTTAGAAATTTAATTTATCATTCATACACATGATTATACTCTCGGAGAGAAAAGGGCAAAGCTGGTTTCCCTCTTTCATTTCCCCTGGATGGTTTGTCTGAAGTGGACAGCTGTCAGTTGGAGCCAGTGCAGTCTATGGGGGATCCTCCAGTCGCTGGAGTGGTCAACCATGGAGGTTTCCTCCTAAATGAGTTTTGTTGTTTACAGTACTTATGATTATCAACTCAGTGAGAAGATAGCAAAGCTGGTTAAACTACTTCTGGAAAAGTAACTCATTCAATTGATAATGCATTTCCCCTGGATGTTTTTGCCCAGTTGGACCGCACTAGATACATTACTTAGTCAATTGATAATATCGAAAATAGCAAAACCCCTACTTGCATTTCCCCTTGATGTTTTTGTCCAGGTGGACCACACTAACTAATATAACTTCTTCACTGGATCACAATGAAAAACCCTCCTTGAGTTTCCCTTGGATGTTTTTCCCAGGTGGACTTAACCAGATGAACTACCTTAATCAGTTGATAACATCAAACACCCTACTTGCATTTTTCCTGGATGTTTTTTGCCTGGGTGGACTGCACTAGACACAATAACTTAATCAATTGATGTCATCATGAATAGATCACATAGTCCTCATGCCCTAGCCACTTGTTATTATTCCATTTTTTCTCTTTCCCCAACCTCTTAATGCCAAGAATGAGCTACAGATCATCATCTGTCGGGTTGAGGTTGGGTATGTACTTAGCTCATACTGTTATATCTTGCTACAGTTTGCACCTATCTGACAGCCACATCTGTGGTCCACTGCAAGCATTTCTGGCTGAGTTTTAACACACGTACAATATTGGGGACAATCCTGTGACATGTGAAACGTATATGTTCTTCAGAACATACAGCTGTACATCTTATTACTGCATTCATTTATGCCAGGATTATCCATTCCACCCATTTTGTGTTCCTTTCCTATTTTTTGGGCAAAGAGCATACCTGTTCCAGAAGTAGTGTGGTACCCCACAGGTGAGCATTATTTCTTCTCCAAGCACAGCCATTCATTCTGGGCAGTCATTTGCTGTTTGGTTTGATATTTGTGTGCCTCCATCTTTGCAATGTGAGATTCTAGCTTTGTGTGAGACCGTTTCGGAAGTTAATATTTTCTTAAACTGCTGGTGTTTTCATATTAATACCTGCCTATTCTCAAAAGTGAGGATTGAGTAGAGGGAGCTAGCTGTGCCAGTACAGATAGTGCAATACTATTGGTGGAGAGTAGTCACATGATATGTACATGTTCAGAAATAGCATGAAACTGATGAGGTATAAAGACTGGTGTGCTGATTGCAAAAATGTTTTTAGTAATGCTTAGAGGACAAAGAAGGATTGAAATAGCTTTGTGTGAGAGGGGGTAAGTACCTATCAGAAATACATTTTCAGTGTAAGAAAATGTTAACTTGTCTACTCTGCAAACATTTCTGTTGATTATATTTTTCTTTCTCTACTAGAAACTTACTTTGATGTTTTCAATATTCTGTGGGATCTTTAGGAAGAAATGTGTTGTGAGTCATTTCTGATCTGTGTAGCTTGCTTTGATCAATCATCAATGATAATTACCAAACTAGTGTTTATTTTTAATTTGCTGTTTTTCATCTTGTCATTACTTTCAAGTTCAGCTGTCACACAAGAGAAGTGACATGACACCAGTATAATTCCATCTTCTAGATATATATATATATATATGTGTGTGTGTGTGTATATATATGTAAGGTTGATTTTAATATTTTTCAAGGTTTATTGCATTTAAGCATTATGATAAATAATTTGAAAATTACCAAATTAATATATGGTGTATTTATAATGACTCTTTTTTTTTTCATTATAGATCCAAAGAACAATTTGAACACCTGTCATGAAAATCAGTTTTCTGAATATCATACGCTAATAGAAAAAGCATGCTGTTCAAACGTTGATTCTTTTGGTACATCGTTTTCAAGTGAAACTAACTTTAAACATTATCCAATTTCTCACAGGGGAAGTAAACCATACAGTTGTGCAGAGTGTGGCAAAGAATTTAGAAAAAAAAATTTCCTTAAAAAGCATCAGGTAATACACTCTTGGTTGAAACCGTACAGATGTTTAGTGTGTGACAAAGAATTTAGAAGAAATGGTGAACTCAAAAGACATGAGAAGATACATGCTAAAGAAAAACCATACAAGTGCATGGTGTGCTGTCAAAAATTTAAAACAAATAACCACCTAAAAATTCATGAGAGTATGCACAGTGGGGATAAACCATACAATTGCTTAATTTGTGGCAATAAATTTAGTTTCAATAGTGCTTTAAAAAGACATCTGAGAATTCATTCTGGGGAGAAACCATTTAGTTGTGTAGTCTGTGGTAAGAAATTTTGTAACAGTGGTGACCAAAAAGTGCATATGAGGATACACACTGGGGAGAAACCCTACACTTGTGTAGTGTGTGGTAGAAAGTTCAGAAAAACTAGTGACCTAAAACCACATTTGAGAATACACACTGGAGAAAAACTATACAATTGTACAGCATGTGGTAAAGAATTTCGAACAAACAGTTACTTAAAAATACATAAGAGGATCCATACTGGTGAAGAACCGTACAGTTGTGTAGTATGTGGTAAAAACTTTAGAATTAAAAGTAGCCTTACAATACACGAAAAGTTGCACCTGGGAGAGAAACTATACAATTGTTTAGTATGTGGAAAAGAATTCCAAACAAGTGGTTACTTAAAAAAACATGAAAGGGTTCACACTGGAGAAAAACCATACAGTTGTGTAGTATGTTGCAAAAAGTTTCGAACAAGTGGTTACTTAAAACTCCATAAGCGGATTCACAGTGTTGAAAATCCATACACTTGTGAAGTGTGTGGCAAAGAATTTGAAAGAATAAGTTTCCTGAAGAAACATGAGAAAACACACACTGGTGAGAAACTGCATAGTTGTATTGTCTGTAACAAAGAATATGTACATTATTCCTCTTTAAAAAGACATGAACATATCCACAGAGGAGGTAAACCATACAAGAGTGAAGTGCTTTTCTAGAATTAGTTACATAGATAACATAGGGGTGAAACTAAGAGTTTTGTGTGAGATAGAGAATTTGGTTGAGAGTGGTGTAAGAACACATAGTGAAAAGTATACATACATTTGTGATGTGTATAGTAAGAAAGTTTTAAAGAAACGATAGTTCAGTATACATATTGCTGTGTTCAATACAAATCAAAATTTCCATTACTGTAGTGTATGACAAAGAATTTTCTACTAAAAATATTTAAGAAATGCAAATGGATAAACATTGGGGAAAAACAGTAAACCTATAAAAGTTTGATGGTCAATTTACAGACTCAATTTATCCATAAAATAGTGTTAGATGTTGTGATTATATAGGATGTGACAAAGAATTTGAAAAAGGTTGTTCATTAAAACTGTATTGTTTGGTTCATGTTGGAGAATTCACATATTGTTCTAATCTACAAAATATCATATTAGTTTCCAATACAGTACATTACCTCCTCTCACAAAAATAGCTATTCTCGTTCAGTGCTGCCCTCTATATGCAAAAAAATTGTTATGCATGCCACAAGCCTTTTATCTCCCTTCCATTGGAACTGACTGATTCCAATGCATCTCTCTTAAATTGTCATGCGTCAACCCTCCACTAATATGAGTGCGACATACTCATGACACATGTGACTCCCTCTACTCAATTCCACCAAACTATCACTTCTTGTTTCACGGTACTCATGAGAAGACATTTTTTTCAATTGGTGCTCTTCTTGTGAATCGTGATTTTAATAGTATAATTTCCGAAGTGGGATTTCTTCATTATTATTTTTTTATTTACATTGAAGAAATCTTTTAATTTAACTTAAAGTCTTTAAGTCCCAGTCTTTATTTTTTCTCATGCTTTCATATTAAACACTTTTGTTTGATTTAAGTATTTCTACTATGAATTCTGAAGTTCATTTTTCTTCTGCGGGTGTTATACCTCTAGCACTATTCTCACAAGCTGGAGATGGGGGAGACCCATCATTGGATTTTTCTGCTATTATCCATCATGAGATATTTTGTTATATGGGTAAACCTTTTTCTCCTGAACTCACCCCACTAATCCTCCTGAACCTGCTTAGACCAATGAAGATTTGATAGCCTTTTTACACCGCTGGATTTTGCCGTATTTTTCCTTTCCCCTCCTGCACAATCAGCTAAGCCTAATATGGCATTTTTCGACATGGTTTCTCAGGTGTGTTACGTTTTATCCAATTCCCTGTTTTTCTGTGATTCCTTATTACCTCCATGTTGGCTCAGTTGTCATCTTCAGCTCTAGCTTTACACACATGGTTGCACTGTAGTTGGGATTTTCTGGGTCGTGATACGACCTTGTTCCAGGTATGTTTGCTGCCTCTTTCTTTTCAGGATTTCTGTATATTTTCTTTGATGATATATTTTTGATCACGTATCTGAGACTTTGGAATCTCGTGCATAATCTATGCATCAACACTCGACCCTTTCCTCTTTGGTTGCATGATTGTCGCAATTGGAGCCATGACACACCCCTATTCCTTTCCTGTTTTGGTCCTTATCAACCCATCCCTGTCCCCTTCCAGGGATTTCTCTTCTCGTTGTTTTATTAAATGTTGATGAGCATGTCATAAACAGTACTGAAGACTAACCAGAGGATACTGGTTCAGTGGGAACTTCACTATATTATATTATTACCCTTTAGTAGTCATTCACTACAGTTCCATGAGTTCTTTGGGTTTTATCAGAGGAACTTGTTCTGCTAGTTCTTTCTCCACCTCCTTTGTCCTTGGTACCCTTTTCCTTTCCCATGACTTGGGATCCTGGCACCAGCCTGCTTCTGTCTGAAGTGGTACAAGATTTTCTGTTTCTACAGGCCATTACACCTGTTCATCATCTTTCTCCAAGCTTTTATTCCAGGCTGTTTTTTGTCCTCGCTTCCAACCTGAGACTAACGGCCTGTACTATGTTTGTCCTGCTTCATTATAATTTTCAATCTGCCCCATTTTACATTGGAGTTGTTTCTTACCCTTAGATGGGCTTTTTCCCCAGGTTTATCAATGACAGAGGAATGTCCTGAATGCTTATTTGCACATTCAGTTTATTCTTCACAGGGTGTTTTCTCTGTTTCATGCACTGCCTTTCAGATTTGCTTTGGCCCTGTATGTTTTGTCGGGTGTTCAAAGCATTTGTTTGTCATTTATATGCTTTCCTCTTTCTTAGATTGACTTGTTACTGTTCGTTCATTCTGAACAGAAATCCACCTGTTACGCTTATCAGCTGCTCCTTGAGGCAGCTATAGTGGGCTGTTAATCAAGTTAGAGAAGTCCTTACCGCAATTTGTCTAACATCATGTCCATTTGGGTGTTTTTCGTTTTTTACACACATTTCAGTCAGGCCCACCCTTCTCCTTTTCACTTTATTCAATGGGTTTTCAGTTCAATTACAGCTCACAAAGTTCTATAACTATTGGGGATGTGATCTTTCATGGTAGCCCTTATCCCCTTTCTTGTGGGCTTTTCATGACCACTGGAATTTCACAGGGATTCTTTTTACCCTTGTCATCCATCAGCATTGGTGGTTTGACATGGCTCTCACATGGGCAGGTTTCCAGCTTCCTCCTCCTTATTCTTCAGGGATGTGGGAGGATTAACTGGAAGATTTGTAATTTTTTTGTCTGCAGCTAAGAGGTTTTATCCTATCAGTGTCCTGAAGCTTCTTGCTGTAGGTCATGTTTTGGTTCATTTTCTCCATCTGGATAGAAATCCTCTGGTAATGATCCATTCAAACTTTTCTTCAGTATTTGTTTATCTCAATCTTTAGGATGGCACCCATTCTTCATCCCTCTGTATTCATACATTGATTTTCTTTTGGGGCCCACACGCTCGATATTCGTATTGCTGTGTGTCAGATTCCTGTCTAGACAACATTTATCTGATGAAGTGGTATCTCGATCCTTTTGTTTTCCAGGGGCTTTAACTTCAATGGGGTCCTCCTCACATTTAGTCTTTTGCTATTTCCGTTAACCACATATTGCCTTGGTTTTGGTTCTTGGTTCCTTGTCTTCTTGCTCTGGCTATTAATGTTTTCAGTCAGGATTGGACCTACACATTTGTCTTTCCTCCCATTCTGCTTCTTCTCCAGTTGATTTCGTTTATCCTTCACACTCCATGTTCAGTCTTTCTGATAACTCTTTCCTGGCTGTCTCAGCTGTGGTTTCTGTGGCTTCTCCTGCTCCAATTTCCCCTGTTACCTTTTCCTCAATCTCTGTCCCTTCTTTGCCACCCTCAGTCACTGGTATTTCACCCAGACCTTCCTGTCCTCTGTATCCACACCTAGTTTTCCTCTGGTCATTGGCAAGGTGATTTGGCTTCTTCCAATGGTTAGCCTCTTTTTTGGCTTGTTTCAATCGACCTTCCTACATGGAAGTTTCTCAATGCAAATGGGATTTTTCCATCATTGGTTTTTGGGACCAAGGTTTTCCTCTGATCAACCCACTGTTATTCGTCATGCAGATTTTCTGTCTTGACTTTTGGATCAGGGGTCTTCTGTCTTCTCAGCCTTGGATTTTTTGGCAGTCCTGTTCCACATCTTTCATTTTTCCCAATCCTGCAGGTATTTACTTCTCCTACACTTTACTTATGGATGTATTTCTTCTGGATTTGTTATACACCATGACAGGCTGCCCTTCTGGGTGGTGATATTAATGTGGTCCTGCACTGCCTCACTTTGCCTACGTTTGAACCACTCTCCCAGTGCTCCTTCTTTCACCTTCCCTTATGTCTTCCTTCCTTCTCCTATTTGCCTGTGGACTTTGGTGGTTTGTTTATTTGCAATCGATGTTTCACATACTCTTTATCTTTCTACATGTATTGTACTTTCTCAGGATTGTTTTTCCTTCCTACCACTCTGACGGCTCATGAGGATAACTCCTCCATTTAGCCACTTTCCCTTCCTTTCATTTCACACCTTTATCCTTGTCCTGATATGGATAGACTTCTATGTTCTGCATGTGCTCTTCTCTGTTATTTTGTCTGCACAGCTTCATTCTGTGGTGTATGTTTCCACCTTTTTCTTCCTTGGCAACTGTCCTCTGTTTGTGTTCTTTCTCCTTCCTCCTTCACCAATTGGGTTTGGCTCTTCATTCGATTGGCTTCTTCCTCTTTATCGTTTTCCTCCCGTACTTTGTACCAAGTGCCTTCTCACCCAATTTGACACCTTACCTTTTCATTGACGTTTCATCTTCATCTTTCTTTGGAGGTACTTCTTCAATCGGGCATATGGACTACCCATATATACGTTTGACTCTCATTCTTTGAATCAGATCGCAGTTTTCTTCCTCTTAGGATTATCATCTTCTGCCTGTACCCATTCTAAAATATCAGAATTCAGTGAGACTTTGACTGGGTAAGTTTTTCTTATTTTTCCTTTTCAAGGGCCCTTTTCCCTTTTACTCATGGCAAGTGGTCTTTAACTGTTCAAACTTGCACTTTCAAGTCATGTTGACTGGCACGTTATAATTCTATGGCCATGGAATGGACACTGCAGAGATGGGGTGTTCCACAAGATCGCTTGTAAGCTTATTCTCACGATAGAATTGCTTTATAAGTTTTCCCGTTCCGGACCATACCCACCAATGAACTACCTAGGTAAAGCAGAAGGAGATAGCTGCCTTATATTGAATAAATCAGTATGGTCTGCTTTTAAAAATATGGTTTCGTGGTCACCCATTGCACTGTCTCAGGTGTTGTCATTCCTCTGGACTCTCCACCGTGTTTTACCCCCCATTTTTTCTAGTGGAGTTTGAGAGTCTTTACCACTTTCCGGCTCTAAGCAAAATATAGAAGTGATTATAAAGCCATTCAGGTGAGAGTGGTGTTCTGCTGGTGTAGATGACGTGATATCCTACAATATGAAACATAAAAACAAATGGGAGCGAGATATCAAAATTGAAGCTCCTCCCCTACGATTGGGATCCTTCATTCTACCCCCACATGGATGTTGGTTCCCAGTTGCCAGGTTTTGGATTTAGAGTAAAAACCCAATCAATACAAGTCCTCACACATGTAGTATGGATGTCTATATTCCTCCCTCAATTATACTCCATCAGTGTTGTGGGTCACAGTGGAGGTAATTGTGGATTATTATGGTTCTTTCCCTTCCGCTGCCCCTCGATGTTTCCTATTCTGAGGATGTAACTACATTTCGGGTGGTAAATTTCACTTTTGAGGGAGATGGTTTACATTATGTAGACATCTTTTCGGTACCAGATGTCAGGTTTCTGGATCTGTCTATTCATGACTCATGGGGTGTGTGTGTACTAGATTCCCTTTGGTCTCATGAACTTGAGGTGAAGATGGTGTGATCCTCTTTCCTACCCCTGCACTAGCTACTCTCCACCTAGGGGCACATCATTTTCAT